GATTTGGCATTTTTGTCTGCCCATTGAGTCCTCCCCAAGGACCTGGGATAAGCAGAGGTGGATGTTTGGTAGTGTTGCAGATATATCGGCGCAGGATGTAAGCTGTTCCGAATAAAGTTGCCTTTTGCATTTGATGGATGGTGAATTTGCCAGTGCCGATGTTGTTCAAATGGTGCTCCAGTTATTTTGGGGATTGCATCCAAGGCGCCTATTACCGTTGCTTTCTTTTGCCACAGTTATTCTATTTCTATAATATTTATAATATTATTTGGTTCATCGCAGTCAGCCAGATGTTCATACTGGATTTGGTATTTTTAATCCACCTATCAAGTCCTTCCCAAGGACCTGGGATAGGGAGATGTTGGTGATTGATTGATTAATTGATTGATTATAAATATTTATAGTATAATAATACATAATATCCACATAATGTTGAAAATTTCTTCAGATTTTAACTCACCTCCTCCAAACAAACCAATAAGCAACATTCACTAGTCTAATCCTAACCGGGAAGTTGGGAGGGGAGGGATGTTTTTGTTCTTTTGTGATTTTAACTCATTTTAAACTCTTGGCCAGGGGTCTTCAAACTTGGCCTTTTTATGACTTGTGGACTTCAACTCCCAGAATTCCTCAGCCAGATGTGCCTGGCTGAGGAATTCTGGGAGTTGAAGTCCACAAGTCATAAAAGAGCCATGTTTGAAGACCCCTGCTCTTGGCAGTGCCTTGACAAATACATTGTTTCTCTTAGCATGATTTTTGGAAGTGGTTTGTTATGGCCATCTCCCTAGGGCTAAGAGAAAGTGACTAAGTCACCCAGATAGCTTTATTCCTAAGGCAGCACTAAAACCCATACAGGTAGTCCTCGAGATATGATCACTTGTTCAGCGACTGTTCAGAGTTATGGCAGTGCTTAACATAGGGGTTTATGATTGGTCCTCAAAGTTCTGGCCATTGCAGGGCCTCCACAATTACTTAACTGCCAAACAACTCGCATTTAAGAATGGTTCCAGTGTCCTGTGATCATGAAATTGCGATTTGCCAATTTCCTGCCAATTTCCCGCTGGCAAAGTCATTGGGGAAACCTATGGGCAAGGTTGTAAGTCACTTGGGTAAATCTCCCCCTACCCAGCCTGTCTTTGAACACCCCCTCCTTTCCCCCTTTGCTTTCTTACACCCAGAGCACCCTCCTTCCCCCCTCATTCACACACACACACACACACACACACACACACACACACACACACCATCCTTTCCAGGCCTCTCTGCTTTCTTGTGCACCTGAACCCTCTTTCCCTGGCCTTCCTGCATTTGCACCACACCCCAGCACCTCCCTTCCTCGACTCATGCATGATTTGCCCCGCACCTCTCAGGGCCTAATTTTGGTTTGATGAAATAGAGGCATCCAAGCCACATCCTGTTCTATTAGCAATTTTGGCATAATCTAATAAGAGCCAGTGATGGTATATTTCTTCTCTTTTGGATCCATTCTGGAGTGTGGGTTTTTGTGGTACAGAAAAGACACTTTTAAATGTATTTGTTACATTTGTAGTGGGTAAAATCACTGCTGACATACGTGTTAAGAATGCCTGGGACACATGATCCTTTTCATCTGATAATGTCTTTCTTACATTTACCCAGATGGTACCTTCATAATAAACGAATCAGGGTTTCTTGTTAGAATGTGAGATCTCACTGAAGACATAATCTCTGATTCCTAGTTTTGGAGGAATGTTATCTACTTGTTTCAGAGAATCTTAATTTCTTTGTCAAATATTGCAGTTGAGGTCAAGAAAGAATGCTCAAGAAGGGACCCTGACAGTGGAACAGCTTCTTAACATTATTAAGGTAATTATGAACACTCCCTATTGAAAGAAAAGGGCGGCGAGGCAATCTTGAGTGGGGTTTTCTCTATGTATAAATGCGTCTTTAAGCATGACTCTTAACAAAGTGAAATATGTAGCTGAATGAGTAGTTAATTTGCAATTCTCCTTTAAGTATCAGCAAAGCAAATTAGAGATGAAATTATCATAGTTATATTAATTAGCATTTTTAAGTGCAATTAACAAATCTTCTGGTTAGTGTGATTCTTAAAAAAAAAAAGTTGCTCTGTAAACTACAGAAACAGAGCCAGAGATGAAATATTTCACAAGTATCTAAAAACGTTTCTCTTTACCGATTTGGTCTCGTGAAGAATTAATGGACCAAACTCTTACAATAACCATGTTGGGCGACTAGTCCAGTAGTTAATAATTTTAATTGGCAAAGAAAATAATTAAGTTGGGACCAATAAGTAAAATGTTCTCTTTTTTTTTAGGGTGCTTCTCAAAATACTGTAGAAGAAAAACTACTGGCGTTTTTGTCTAGTGCTCCAGGGACAGTCTTTCAAGCATCGGTTGGATATATAGTATCTGCTCTTGTGAACAGATGTAAAGCAGAATCTTCATTCTATCCTCGCAGTTGCTTGGTACAACTGATTCAAACACAAGGCCTCTCTTATAGGTAATACATATCTAATCTTTTCTAACAAACAGCCTGCTTCACCTTTTTGTAACAATAGCTCCCGAGAATTGGGTACTTTACATACCAGAAACTTTTTTAAAAGGTGTATGGAAATATATACAGAAAAATACAATTGTTAACACATTAGAGTGGTAGTTTGGTGTAGTGGTTAAGGTGCTGGCTTAAAAACCAAGAGACTGAGTTCTAGGCCTCCTCCTTAGCTGGGTAACTTTGGACCAGTCGCTATCTCTCAACCCAGCCTACCAAACAGACTTATTGTTGTGAGGAAATAGGAAGCAGCAGTATTAGATATGTATGTCCCCTTGAGTTTATATATAAACAAGGGCAGGATAAAATAATAGTAATAATAGGGACTCAGTGGGAGGACACAAATGCCAAACCCAGTCTAAACATGTGGCTGACTATGCAACTAATCATAATAATGTTAAATATATTGAGAACTTTACTATCTTATCTTCCAGCATGTGTCCAGAACTGATAGCAATTGCAGTGGAGAAAACAGATATACATCTGTTGCAGCTCTGTCTGCAGCAATTTCCTGATATCCCTGAAGCAGTTATTTGTACTTGCCTGAAGATTTTTCTGAGGTAAATATACATACTTCTGTTTGTATTTAAATTTATTAACAGCTCTGGCAAGAGTTTGTTTTGAAATAGTGGGCTTTTTTCCAGTTTAATTTCTGTTTATAAAAAGGCTCTGAAAAGATGGCACTAGTCTTAGATCACCATGTGGACAAGCTGAAGAAATGACAGCTAACTATAAATCATCTCTTTTTCTTTGCAGAACTTTTCATTTTACAAGCTTATTTATTTAGGTCTACTTAATACCGTATGAACCTAAAGTAATTTCCCTTTTATAAAATCCAGATTTTGTATTCTTTTTTTTTCTTTTAATTGATTCAGATTGGGAAAAATTCATCTTCAAGCAATTAACCTTATAATGGTTTTCACCATCCCTGGTGTACTATTATCCCTATCAACTTTGCCTGCCAAAAGCAATTTTTTCCCTATGTTCTTCTATTTTAACAGCAAACAATCTGTCTTAGATTTATTATTGTTTCAACTTCAAGAGTAGTTTTAAATAACATTTTAAACAAATTGAGTATTTGTGGACATTTTGTTTCTTTGTAGCATTGGTGATGACCGCCTTGAAACGATGAATATGAATTCAGATTTTGTACCAGATCATGTTCATACTGTTGAAAACAACAAAATGGATGAACTGTCTAAAATTATACAGAATGGCTGTACTTTTGAACTCATAGAAGAAGATAGCTGTGATACGCAGACAATACAGAAATCCCAAGAAATAGACCAAAGTGAAATATGTCCAGTTGGGCCACAGAAAGCATCATTGCTGTATCCTTTGGAATATATTATTGATGTGACTGATGAAAAAGAAACGATCGTTAGTGTTCCCCTTATTCAGTATAATCTGAATTGAAAATGTTAACCTTCAGAAGTAATCTTTGGCCTCTCAGTTGATTGTGGTATACAATAAAAAAAATACATTAACTGGAAGCAAAATGTAGTAATGCACCAAAAAGCAGTGAACAGATTCTAGCAACTTATTTCAGTCTCATCTCCAAAATTTACATAAAAGTATATATACTTGGGAAACCACTGCATAAAAAG